AAATCTTAACAAGTGGTTTGTCTGAACTAGCTGAATCCCACCTCTTATTCTATTCGTCTGTTAATGCAGCCGAAGTCTGAGTTGATTTTTTTGACAGCTGTAGTACACTGCACGCTCATATTTAAGTAATTGTCCACTAGAATTCCAAAATCCCTGTTACAGTTACTGCGAAGCTCCTTCTGTATCTTAAGGTTATCTTCTGAAGCAGAGTTCTCCAACCTTTCTGGAATGGTGGCCTGGAGTGTGGGGGTGGGGTGAGGAAAGAGTAGATGATTTTCTAGGGGGGCCAGGAACATGTTTGTGTGAGTGGAGCCGCAAGTGCTCACAACGAGGCTCACATGAGTGGGACCCCAGGTGCCTGCATTGAGGCAAGTGGGACCGTGATCGTGTGCAACGATGTGCAAACATCATTGCCAATGATAGTGGGCAATTGCCCACAGGTTGGGGGGCCCTGTTCTGGAGTGTTGGGTATTCCTCCTAGCTTGTTGTCGGCAAATTGGATGAGTTCCCCATCTATCCCCTAAATTGTTGATGAAGATATTGAAGAGTACCGGTCCTAAGAAAAAGCCTTGGGGTACCCCACTGAATACTTCCCTCCATGTAGATGCAATTCCATTAAGTACTACAGGTTGAATGTGATTGGTTAGCCAATTACGAATCTATTTGTTAGTGATGCTGTCTAACTCACAGCTGATTGTTGGAACAGCTGATAGTCGGGAGAAAAAAAATACCTTAAGGAGTGATTGGGCGGGGGAGAATGTAGTCAGTGATGTCAGGCATGTGCGTGATGTTGCGCATGTGCGATAAGGATTTGGCGGGGCAGAGAGGGGCGGGCAGAAAGGGGAGCAGCCAGCCAGGGTCATGATTTACTGGTTTGCTGAACTGCGCAGAATCTTAACAACCGGCTCTATAGAACTGGTGTAAACTGGTAAAATCCCACCCCTGATCTTGCCCCTTGTTGGCAGTGATTTGTAGTAGGTGGTGCTGATTATGTGGAGAAGTAAAAGAACAGCTACCAAAGGATTAAAGGATTATTTTCCTCTTTAACTTATTAAAATAAACTAAAGCTGTGGAGATGAAAATGTTACTCCTTATTCTGTCATTGTAATTTTTTTTTTTGCCCTAAATGTGATGTTTTTTGGTTAATGTGAAGCAAAATGTTGCTTATAAATGAAGTATTTTTATCACTATTGAAATTACTTTGCAAATAATATAAACTGCAATTTCTTTTTGCAGATTTGATGGAAGAGTAGTTGCAAAGCTCCCATTCATACCACTTTCTTACATTCAGGGTTTGTCTCATCGTAATCTTCTGGGTGAAGATTGCACAGATTGTTCCTTCATTTTTCTCTATATTCTCTGCACCATGTCTATTCGGCAGGTAAGGTCTAATTTGGATTTTACTTCTGTGGCTGAATAACCATAACTCGCACAAAAACTCTGGAGAATTAGAAGCAATGATTGGTGTACGTTGCTACTGATGGATATGTTGTTTTTTCTAGTAAACATTTTAAAATTTCGGCAAAATGGAACATTTGTCTATTTCTCTCATATCTTAGTGTGTATCTCTGTGTATTTGTGTATTTTATGTTTCTGAATGTATGTGCTGGACTAGGAATGGGGGATAAATATATGTAAGTATATGCTGGATTAGGAATAAGGAAACCTAGCTCTCTAACACAGAAGCTTGCTGGGTGACTTTGGACTAATCAATTGTCTCTGTAGTCTAGACTCTTTATCCTGTGTGTCTGTGTGTGAATGGTAGATTATAGTCTATTATAGTGATGGCTAACCCTTTTGGCACCAAGTGCCCAAAGCGCGTGCTAGAAGGGTGGTGGCAGCGGCTTTTCTGGTGCATTTGAGACCTCTGGTAGTTTTCGGTGGCCTCCAGCCAGCCACCACAACCACAAAGGCTTCTTGCAGTCACACCAAAAAAGAGCACTTGCCTTCCCCTCTGCCACCAGCTGCCGCAGAAGGAAGGTAAGCCCGAAAAAAGAGGTGGTCGTGCAGGAGGATGTAGGGTTAAGGCCACCTAGGCCAGGCCTGGACAGAAAATAGGTAGAAAGAAAGGCTGTAATAGTTCTAATTTCAAAAATTTTTCCTACCGGATTCTGTGGGCGTGGCTTGGTGGGGGGGTTCATGTGACCGAGTGTGGCCGTGAGTGATGGCTAGTTGGTCATACCCATTCAGTCACATGATCCCACCAGGCCACACCCATCAAGCCACGCCCACAGAAATTAAGCATATCTACTTTTTCAGTTTGTAAATGTGTAAGTGTAAATGAAGCTAGCAATTATTTGAGGTTGATTAACAGTGTTTACATATGATTTTGACTATTTATTAAGGGAAAACTTGCTTTATTTTAAAATCATTATTCAGTTCTTGTGTCTTTTTTGTTCCTTTATCAGAATATTCAGAAGCTGTTGGGTCTGGCTCCTTCCCGAGCTGCCACCAAGCAGGCTGGAGGATTCCTTGGCCCACCACCTCAAGCTGGGAAGTTCTCTTGAAATAAGAAAACTAATTTTATCTTTCTTGCCAATGAATATACTTTAAAAATATTCAGATTTTATAGAAAAGTTTCTAAAAATATTTGGATACCCAAGGTATCTAGTAACATATGTGTTTTGTGAATTGAACCATGTTGAACAAATATCTTTGGTTGGCTCTCAGTTTCCAGGATGGAGAGAAAGTACATTTCATGAAGATTTTAAAGTCTGGAAAAACTTGTAAGAATACATATTGAAATTAAAGATGAGGTAGGGATTCATAAAAAGTTGGAGGTTTTTTAAGGACATGATTCCACTTTTACTTATAAACAAAGAAGAATTTCTATTATCCCTGATTATTTAATTTGCCATTTTTCAAATGTTAATTTAGTCTAACATTATCTGGATTTCTCTAGGAATTTATAAGAAAGATCATACAATGTCCTTCAATATTTAATATTAATGGATAACGGAGGCACCATTAAATTATGACAGAAAATTTGCCATGAGACACAATCTCCATTAATTATTGTAATATTAATTTATAGAAATAATTACAATTTTTCCTCAGAACGTATTTTTGTTGATTTGTTTTTTGTTCCACTGTCTGAAAGTGGCAAAGAGAAAAAAGTGGAGCAGTGTTATGAATGGAAATGTTGTGATATATTTTAGTTAGTATGCTTCACTCTTGTCAATTGGCAACTTTTTGATACGTCATGCTTATTTTATCTCCTTTATTTTTCCTTTTGAAAGCTAAACATCTCTTTCAGCCATTCCTTACTGAGCTTGGTTTCCAGAAACATTATCATCTTAGTATCTCTTCTGAAACCATTCCAACATCTGCATGTCTGTTTTATAGCATGATATCTAGGACTGGATTCGGTAATCTTAATTATGGTCCATTCATTGCTGAATATACTACCTTTTTTGATCTGGATACAGTATCTCTGCTAATGCAGCTTACCCGTCCATTAGCTGCATCACACTATTGTTTATCTGGCAATTCACTAGAAAGGTGAATCTTTACAGTTGTAGCCAATCTGCTTGAGTGAATATCATCTGCTAATGTTGTAGATGTCCCATGCTATTCTAGGCTCATTTATAAAGATACTGAAGAGTATTGGTTCCTGGAAATCACATTGATTATTTCCCTCCAGGATAATATGGAGTTATTCATGAGTACCTTTTGGGTATAATTGTTCATCCAGTTGCGAATCCATTAGATTGCAGTGCCCCCTGGGCCATATTTAATTACTTTGTGACAAAAATATCAAACTATTGAACACTTTACTACAATCAAGGTACACAGCATCCACATTTGGTCTACCAAAATATTCATGTCAGTTTTAAAATGTTATGGTTAATCTAATGCTGCTACTCTAGAAATAATAGCATTCTTTTCTGGTTGCTTACATACTGGCTACTTGATAATCTTTCCTAATAGCTTTCCTATCACAGATGTTAGAAGCATGGAGGCTACAAATAGCCTTTTTTTTTTGTCTTGGAGGTTGCCCTTAAATAATTCATTCTAGTGACATCTTCATATTAGTGATGTTCCCCTGCAGCTCCAGGATGCCAAAAAATATTGAGTTGTTTATCCTGTTGTGTATCATCTTCCTCGCTTATATAATATACCTGTTAAATAAACATAACTCTATTAATCACACTTCTTTCCTCTGGCAATATTTTCTTTTATCCTCATTGTATTTTTATTTAATTTATTTAACAGCATATCACACACAAGTAACTCTGACTTACCTAATTAAAACAACTCCAACAAATAACCACAGGGCCAAAGAAGCCATAGAACCCACTTATCCACCCCTGACTCAATTGGGTGGGAAAACAGCTAGGTTTCCAATGCCTTGTAGAAGGCTAACAGGATTGTGACAATCCAGAGGAGGCGGTTCCATAGGGCAAATGCCACTGATAAGGCACCATTTTGTGCTCAAACAATTACATTGCTTAATGGAGAGGGCCTGGAACCTGCCTTCTCAACTAGCTCATGTTGCACAAACTTTGTTCCTGTATTTTTTCTATTTAACTTTGCTAATGCTAGACATTCCACAGAGCAAATGATTAGCCTCTTATTTACTTGCCAAGAGCTTCACTGTAAAACTATTTCAGGTGCTTAACGAGAAGAAAAAGTAAAAAAAAAAAGTGGGGGGGGGAGCCTTGATATGCTATTTTTGTGCTACATATGCAGGCAAGCCTATAGAAATAGAAGAAATATGTTTTTAATAAATGTATCCCTACCATTGTTTTTTTCCACAATATTGTCTCAGACTTTTTATTACCACAGACCAAACTGCTTAGTCTGCAGTTTGTACTAAGTCTGAAGTCTAACGCAATGAGTAATTTATTGATATATTGCAGTAATTGAATGATGATTCAGTAAAAATGTTGACCTTATCATAAATGAAAGGCCAGTTGCAAGTGTCAGAAGGTTGTTCTAAATTAATATTCTGAGCAAAGACATTTGGGGAATATAAACTGCCTCATTAGAGTAGGAATTGAATGGATTTGTTGTCCCCAAAACTGGGCTTTTGCTTGGTGTCAAAGCCAATAAGTCACCGAACACAAGGTGTGATACTTTTATTTTGGTACCAAGATATAAGGACCCTGGAAAGAGACTAAGGCCCTAATTACAATCTTACAGCAATTCTTATAGTCTCCTAATAATGCATGCATAACAGATATTGATTGGTTATTTGGATTACAGCCCCCTAAACCTTTAGGCTTGCTATGCTAAATAGCTAAATGTCACATCACCTGCTTTTCACCCCAGGTCATGGGTATCTTGCAAAGTGTCCTAGTTTCATCTGCCAGCCATGTGGGTTTTGGGTTTTTCTTATAAGCGAGCTATTCTTATTTTGGGTAGTGGTTTTCTAACAGATAAGGTTTTATCTTTTGCCTCGCTACGACTGTGCATCCCTCCCCTTCCTATTGCAGAGCAGAATAAAAGAACAGTTTTGTCTCAAGGCAGCACCCCACTTTCCCCTCCTCCTGCAGAGAGAGAGAAAGGAGCAAAGCTGCTTAATTGTCTATTTTAAGACAAAGTTTTTATCAGAATTCATATTCCTCACTCTCATGTCCATTACATCCACACCTGGATCCTATCTCTACATATGACTCTGATCCCCAGGGCCACATACATTCCATCATCTGTTCCTTCAAATTCCACTACTAAATTCCACTACTACTAGCAGTTCAAAACTAATTTGAGACATCTGTGATTCCACAGTATTTGCTCCATTCAATAGCTGTGCTGATATTTCTGGGTCACGTTATATTTAAGCATTTGTAGAGGAAACACTGAAGCTTGGAGGAGAAATGCCCTGCTTTCCTGTTCCTGTAAGAGTAATGATGTTCTGTTAAAGCTTGGAGAAATAGTATATACCAAAATATAAATACAAAATGAAGTACTAGGATTAAGTAACTGGGACATTTTTTTCTCAAAAATACCTTTTGACAGTTTTCCTTTTACCTTGCTATCCTATACCTTGGTGATTATATTATTATATTATGAATTTATTATAATAGAAACAGTAATTTTGCAGAGCTAGAGAAGCCAAAAAATTATGATAAGGACAGGGCAAAACCTGTGACTGACTTGAATTCGGGGTTATTGAACCCCGAATTCCTCTCCCTTTGGGGGGGCGTTGGGGAACTCCGCTCTCGGTGCAGGCACTCTTAAAATCTTTGCAATGGGTTTGCAACGCATACTTGCTGCCTAAGCAAATACACTCCTGGATGACGAAAGGCTCGTAGTTGCAGGCTGTTCCTCCGAGGGTTTCGCATAACCAGCCAATAGCGTGGGAGGCGGATTCAATGGGCAATCAGACCCCTCCCATTATAGGGAGGGGCTTTTCTACAAGAGGGGACAAAGTTGCAAAAAGGAGTAAAAGGCTCCTTCCACACCAAAGGGCGGTTCTCGGCGCGCAGGTGTAGTGGCTGAAATGTGAGTATGAGCGATGACTAAGATTAGGGAGGTTTACGGATCCTTGAACAGGAATAATTCCACTCAGGTTGCATTGAGATCTGAGGGAGGGTTCCTGCTTTCCTGTTTATGGCGGGCAGGGTCGAAGTGAAGGGATAACTCTTTGCAATAGATTATTCCTACAGATTATAGTTGTACCCGCACATACACTGGTACAGAGCAACCCAGCAGCTCGCTGTCCAAATGATCTCATTTGAACTGCTCCGCGCGCAGGAAGGCGGTTCTACTCTCCGATTAGAAAAAAAAGGGACCTTCCCCTCCCTTACTGTGAAAAGTAGATACGGAAGGGACACGCTTTGTTTTCGGATTGCTCGTTTTGGAGCGAGTATTGTTTGACGGTAGATCCGAGAGGGTGTTGTGCGAAACAACACACTTTATTCCACTTGTCGGAGGTAGTGTATTTCCATTTCCCAAGATGGTTTTAGGCCTGAGGTTTATAAGGCGGGGCCTGTTTCATCTCCTCCCTCTGTTTTTTAAAGCTGTTTTCTGAACCGCGATAATCTTATATTACTATTGTGGTCTCCATATCCTGGCAGTATGTGCGATTTACTGCAACTTACTGGTTTTTCAATTGTTGATCCATTAATTGCGCCCGGAAGGAGGGAGAGAGAGAGAACAGATAGCCCTCAATTTACGACCACAATAGAACCCCAAATTGATGTTAAATGAGAAGTTTATTAAGTGAGTTTTGTCCCATTTTATGACTTTCCTTGCTACGTTTAAGTGAATCACTGCAGTTAAGCTAGTCACATGATTGTTCAGTGAATCTGGCTTTCCCATGGACTTTGCCTCAGCAAAAGTCACAAAAGGAGATCACGTGACTCTGAGACATTGCAACTGTCATAAATCCGAGTCAATTGCCAAGCATCTGAATTTTGATCACATGACCATGGGGATGTTGCAACAATGGTAAATATGAAAAACAGTCTTAGGTCACTTTTTTCAGTGATTTGTAACTTTTCAGTGGTCACTAAAGGAACTGTTGTAAATCAAGGACTACTTGTAATGTAACAATAATTCAAGAAATTATTGCACCAGGTTTTATGTGTTTCTATCACAAAATGCATTTTTGTGTATCGAGTGGATGCATAAATTGGATGCATAAATCAGCTATAAGTATACCAGTTAGTACTAAATAATGTAATTATGATGCTCCAGAATGGGTTATACAACCTATAATGCTTTATACAACTTCTCTGGTACAGAAATGAGTGCCCACAATTATTGAACTTGATAATAAAAATATTTTGCCTTGTTTGTAAACTATTTTGGAAGCTTTTCTGAAAGATAATATTGATTTATAGAATTGGAAGGGAGCTTGCAAGTCACCTAGGCCATTCCCAGGTGCCCAATTTAAAAATTGAATTAAATAAAACAAATGGTTGGTCTTGAAAACATGCAAAGCTATCCTTGTATGGGAGACAACCCCAGGGAATCCAGAGCAATAAGCTACACTGGGAATCTGTGAGGGCCAGTTTGGCATAATAGTTAAAGTGCTGAACTAGAAACTGGGAGCTGACAAGTTAGCTATAAAACCTATCTGGATGTCGTTGGGCTAATCCCTCTCTCAGCCCAACTTGGCTCATACAGTTGTGGTGGGGAAAAGGAGGTGGGAACATTATGTATGCCAACGTAAGTTGTAGAAAATCAAGATGGGACATAAAACTAATAATAATATTGAAAAGCAGTGGTAAATATCCATATGGGTTTGATTCTAAAGAATGTACTTTACATAAGATAACTTGTCACAGAGCATGCATATAATTACATCCTCTGCAGCTTTGCATCAGTCCTCGGATGCTTCTTAGTTCCAGTTTATTGTTTCTTCTCCGTGGCTTTCCTCGTTTACTCTGTTCTACTGCAATGAGCACCATTACTGGTACATTTCAACTGCAGCAACCTCTCAACTACCGAGAAGGTGCCCGTCACCAACCTGTGGATGGGGATCACAGTGAGGAGATCTATGAACCAGCAACTGGTAATCATCTGTTGTAATGGTGATATTAAAATCTTAGAGAGTTAATGTTCTACAGCTATATAATGATGACCTCTTATCACAGTCACAGGAATAGCTGACTTGGAAGTTATATAAATGACTTTTACATCCTTCTTAAATAATTAGATAATAACTAATATAAGACAAAAATATATTGTTTTTTCAAATATTTTATTGATACTTTTTATGGCAGGATTTATTAATCTGCTGATGGAAGAAAATTTTGAGGATTCTTATACATCTGTATAAAGTAATTGAAAACTTATGTTTATATAGGAATACACTTTTAGATCATTATGATTGTTTTTAGAAAATTTCTGTATCAAAAAGATTTTTTTCACCAGGAAACAAAAAAAAATAAGTGGGCCTTCTGCTGTAATTCCTTCGCATATATCAGTGATGATGCCAGAACAAATAATAAAGGAGGAATATATATTTAGACACATTGGCTTTGGATTACAAATTGGTTGCAATTTTTCATTTTAGAAAGTACTATTGCACAAGGCAATCAGTGCTCTTTGCACTCAGCAATAATATCAGTGAAAGAGAAAAAGCTTTGCTGCAGTCTCATGTTAATGTAGAGTGTAATAATGACCCCAAATATGAATCATCTGCCAAATACTTAAAAGTGTTTTTATTTCATTTCTTTACCAAGTCTAGGACCTCATGTGACCTCTCAAATCTTAAATCTGACACTGAGGAATTATCAAAACTCATTTCCAAATTGCAATTTTTAATGTACAGGAAGTCCTTATTTAGCAACCACTCATTCAGCGACCATTCAAACTTATGACAGCATTGATTGAGTGGTAGTTATGACTAGTCCTTATATTTCAGGCCATTGCAGCATTCCTATGATCATGTGATCTGGGCGTTTGGTGACCATCTCATGATAGGATGTTGCAGTGTGCTATGGTCACATAATCATGTTTTCCAAATTCCCTTTCAACTTCCCACAATCAATAGGGGGACCAGTGGGAAGTTGCAGGTTGCATGAGGTTCTTGCTTAACGATCTGTGCAGTCCTCAGCAAGTGGGATTGCTGGAACTGCTGTTGCTAAACTGTGAGGTAACTTTTTTTTACTTATGACTTTGTTGCTTAACCACAGTTTTCAGTCCCAACTAGCTGCTTATCAACTGATTATTACCTTCCTGTAGTCAAAGGAAAAATAGTAAATATACATTAAAGAGAAAATATAAGTATATTGAAATAAAAATAAGCTGAAATTAATATTTTTCTTAGGTCTTTGTTTTCCCAAAGGTATCTATATTGAATGTGACCTATGGTATGCCACTCAAATGCCAACATTAATCCTGACTTAATTAGCATACAAAATATGCACCCAGATAGTACATGTCTTTTGTCAAAACGATAGCTTCTGTTGTGTACTAATAGCGAATGTGAAATATTCTATTATTCTATCAACACTGGGTTATGTACAAATAATTGTTTAGTTCTGGTACACAAAACAGATTCTGTCAGCTATGCCTCATTCAAAATCCAAGAAAGAACTCCTTCAACTCCATTAAAATAGAGAAAAAGTACTTTTACTGAGTTTGAAGTGATAGCAACAAAAGGAAAGCAAGATCTGAAGCAAATAGGCTCGGAAATTACATATTGAAAGTTATCCCAAGTTTCCTCATCCAGGAGTCCAGACTGGTCATCCAATCTGAGGTGTGTATAATGTCATGTGGGGTACATCTTCAGGTGGTTTCTCACTCATATGGTATGCCAAGACGGTTGACCCTGCATAAGTCTATGCAGTCGTGCAGTAAGCAGGAAAGCATCCCCTCCATTTTAATTCACACAGGAATGTCTTCGCACTCCAACAAACACCTCCCAGGATCAAATTACCCCTCCCCCTGTTTCTATGGCAGCCAACAAGAATCAAGAAGCAAAAGATGTCAAGAAAACTACTTGGAGGCTGACACACTCTTAGGTCTATTATTGAACATATTTATACATAACTTTCATGAGAGGTTAGAAATTTTCTAATAACACAAATATAGAAGAGATAGCAAAAACAAAGACAATACCAAGATTCAGGAGAATCTTGACAAACTTGAATGATGGTAGCTAAATCTATTTCAACAGGGATGAGTTGTATATTTGGGTACGAAAAATCAAAGACATAAATATAGGATGAGGGGGATCATATGGGACAGCATTATATGTAAAAAGATGCACATATCCTGATGGATTATAAGAGTGTGAACTGATAGCGTGCCACATCTACAAAATAGAATTATCCAGGTATGTGATATAAAAGCAATCCATGTACACTGCATCTGGAACACTGTGTTATTCTGGGCATGGCAGGCAGGCAGGCATACAGAAATAGGGCTCTCCTGAATAATCCATTTAAAAGCCTAAAAAAAAAAAAACCCTAAACATGCACAGGAAAAAAAGTGAATGGAGGAAAAGACCGAACTTGGAGAGAAGAGAAAACTGGAATTCAAACATTTATTTGGATGCAACATTTATCTGCTGGGATTTTGTTTTCCTTTTCAAATTTTATACATTTGTCATTTATAATATATCTGTGGATTGCAAACTATATCAAGAGGGCAAAATCAACATTGTCACCGAACTCAGAACTCCCAAAACGGAGGTTGAGTGATTGGATAGCCATTTGTCCAAAATAGCATAGGTCCTTTCAACTCTGTTACTCTACAAAACTAACATCTAAGGATAGAAATTTAAGTTTAAATTTTCTTTTTAAAAAAATCTTCTAAATTTTGAGATTTATGAAAATAAACTTCTAGAATTTTTAATTTTGGGGAGGGAAAAAAGCCCAACTGAGAGACAGCACAGCTGAGAGATGTCCCAGCTGCGAAGCAGCCCAATGTCCCAGCTGAGAGACAGACAGCACAGCAGCCCAACTGAGGGAGAGAAGACTCAGTGACCTAGCCTGACAGCTGAGTGGAGGCAGTGAGGTGCAAACGGAAGCCACTGAGCAGACATGAAACAGCTAGGTGGCAGTAGACCAGCAGTTGGGAGCAGGGTGGACATGAGCAACAGCTGTGCAGAGCTAAGTGGCAAAAGAGCGGAATGCCCAGAGAAGTGACTGAGAGTAGTACGGCGGACCAGCTGAGAGCAGCGTGGCATTCCAATTGAGCAGCAGTGGAGCAGAGCTGATAGTAGGCTGGAGTGCCCACAGCAATGGCTCAGAGCAGCATGGCAGAGCAGCTGAGCAATGGCTAAGCACCCAGATCAGAACATGGTACCTGCATTAAGGAGCTGAATGACTATAGTTCAGTTACTCTGACATCCATAGTTATGAAAACCTTTGAAAGGTTAGTGGTGGCCCACCTGAAAGCCATCATGGATCTGCTGCTAGACCCCTTGCAATTTGCCTACTGTGCAAATAGATTGGCAGATGATGCTGTCAGTATGTGTCTGCATTACATCTTACAACATCTTGAATCCCCAAAGACTTCAGCTTGACATTCAATACTGTCATTTCAGTAACTGTTCCTGGCCACACCTGTAGCTGGGTTATAAGCTTTCTAACAGGTAGTAAGTAGCAGATGAAGGTAAATTGGCACAGGAACCTCCCAGGGCTGTGTGCTGTCTCTACTACTCTTTTCTCTATATACCAATGACTGCATCTGGAAGGATCCCTCTGTTAACCCTACTGAAGTTTGCAGGTGATACAACAGTCATTGGTCTAATTCAAGATAATGAGTCTGTATACAGACAGGATGTCAGATCCGTGTATCTGCTATTCTTTAATGGAAGAAGAAGGGGGGTGTTGATACAAGTAATCCTTTTTGATGTAATCTGAA